ATAATTTTAAATATAAACAATATTCAGTATTTAAATACTCATAAATAGTAAATTTTGTTTTTAATAATTATTTTCTTATTTAATTATCTCTATTTCAATCAATTTTGTTAATCAGTGCAGATGTAATAATTTTTGTTTCGTATCAATAGAAACTTAAAAAGAAAGCCGTAAAATATATATTTCCTGAAAAACATCATATAGCAAATGGGATCTATATAGGGCAAGAAAAATGGGACTTAAATAGACCACTCTATTTTTCAGCTGAAACAGAGTCTCTAATTTCAAATGTCACTCCTAACACCTAATTTTTCCCAAAAAGATATACTATTTATATACCTATCCGCACCGAAGGTTTATAATCCTCTTATTCTTTTACCGAAAAGATTTTTTCTGAACAAAAAAAAAAAAAATATTTTCAAATTAGGAAAATTTGAATTATATCAATTTTTCTTGGAAACATTTTTTTGAGATATTTAATTGAACAGAAAATTATCGATATACATATATAGATATATACGTGAAAAGTAATTTATATTTAACGCGGGTATATAAGAATCATATCTTTTAGTTTCAATCTATTTCACAATCTAATAACATGGGCCAAGTATATAAGTCAGATAAAATCTCACATATGCATACCACCAGAGAAGCAGTTTATATACAACTAATTACACTCTATGTACTTAGAATATATAAAAATATTCTATTTTCATTCATTTCTGCTTATCTTTTTAAAGATAATTTTTATCATTCGAAAATCATTTACGCACTTATATCAATAGTTTAAAATATATGTATATATATAAGAAAGATTTAATGACTCAGGAACATCAAACATATACAATATGTATAGCAGATTTTCTGCAATCTAATCTTATATACAAAATGCATTCCGTTGTATGGAAAATAGTTTTTAGATTTAGTCATATACACACGCAAATCTTGAAGCATGGTAAATTTGAAAATTATCCTAAACCAAAAATACAATACTTAAATAGCAGGTCGAAACGCATCATTTAAAAATTTTGACCCATACTCTGTATCTTGTTTTGCCTTTTCTAAACTGGTCTTTAAGATTTAAGTTCCTTAAGAGATGACTGTTCTGTTTCTTGATGACTAATCCGTCATGCTTTATCTTAATGAATCTTGTTTATCTTTTTGTATTTTAAAAGTGTACAAACAAATCTTTATGTTAACTATGAGTGTTAAGATAAATTAATAGCTTACTAAAGCTTAATTATTTCTGAAAAATTATCAATAAGAAACATTTTTTTATTTACTTTATTCATTTTTTTATAATAATAATAATAATAATAATAATAATAATAATAAAAATAATAATAATAATAAAAATAATAATTTTTTCAACTTTATCAAATATTGTTGCTGAAACCATACATATAGGAAGTTTGCTGTGGGATTTAAATTATCATTTATTTTTTGTTAGCATCTGTTGACCATTCATTGTTTTTCATGTACGAAATTATTTACTATGAAAAAACTATGAAATTAATTCAAATCTTCATTGATGTTTTGTCCCAATTAATAAAAAATTATAATTTCTTAAAATTTTTTTTTGTCAATTTTTCAGGACAGAAAAGATATATCAAAAAACATCTTTAACGTTTCGAAACCGGTGTTTCCTCATCAGAATTTATTAATCTATAATTATATAAATGAATATTAAAAATTCTTTGTTTTTTTCAAAAATTATTACAAATGCTATCAAAAAAACTACATACCGTCAAATTATGACAAATTAAATATAAATTTTAGGTATGATTGTGATTAAATCAAGTGTTCAAATAATTTTTAATATTCATTTATATAATATTATAGATTAATAAATTCTGATGAGAAAACACCGCTTTCGAAATGTTAAAGATGTTTTTGATATATCTTTCCTATCCTTAAAAATTATGCCAAAAAAAAATTTTTAAAGAAAGTACAAAATTAAATTTCATTTTTAATTCTAAAATTCTGAAATTATTGTTTACATTTTAAATTCTTGTTGTAGATGCATAAATCATGCATTTTTATTGCGTTGAGTATTAGTAACAGAAAGAATTTTATCTCTAGACTTTGGATTTGAATTTGTAGCAAAGTTTCATTCTTCTCTATAAGGATGACTCACTTTAAAGATAAGAGACATTGTCACATCATCTTCATTTTTCAGTTCAGGTTGTCAAATTACAAAATAGAAAAAAAAAAACATTTCATATACTCAAAACGAAAAATTGCAGTTTATTAAATTCTATTAAATTTCTAAAACTCTCATTACTTATATAAACATATATTACAATTTGTAAAAAAAAAAAAAAAACCTTATAAAATCTTGGCACATTACAAAAATGAATATTTTTATATTAATAAAAATTATTTTATATAGAAAAAAAATATATATAATCTTTGTTAGATGAAAAATAATTCTTTGTTCTCTGTCAATGGCAATCTGTATCGATCAAAAAAGTTCATGGCATACGAGTATATAGAGGAACTGTATGTTACTCTCTTGTTTAGAGAAACGGGGGGTGCTCAATGCCCTGAAAGTGGGTCCACATGGGGCCGGTCGCATATGGTCGCATAAAACATCCAGCCGTAATTGCCAGGTGTTTCATAGGTGAGGCCCTCTCAAGGTGGCACAAAAAATAAACTTAGCTTCCTTCCGATGGATGGGACTAGTAAAGGGGACCACCGCACCGGTGTGAATGTATAGATTTATTCAAAGAGACCCGAATTACACATCCTCAACGTTAAATCATCAACGTTTTCAATTTTCAAACATAAATGAAATATTTTTTTTTACAAAAACTATTTACAATTTTCAAAACAAACAAAAGTTATGTATATTTTTACTTTTTAGGTTATGTTTTATATTTTTTTTTAGATCGAATCAGTGGTTTGTATTGTAGAAGTAAATTACAAATTTTTTTTGTACCAAGATCCCTTCAAGTATTTTTAAAAACAAAATGAGCTCGTATAACGTATTTAAATAGTTTTTGCCACCATTTTCATTCTTTTAATATTAATTATATGCGCAAAAGCAATTTTTTATCATACCTGTGTGTTGGGTAAAAAATTGTATCATAATGAAAGGGACATTTTTTTAAGAGATTTGATATGTATAGTACATATACCTGGTGGTGAACTCGGCATAATTTGACAATGAGAACACCTTTTTAGACAGCTTCTGGCAAAGATCCGGAATGGGGTATTAAAAGAAAAAAATAATGAATATTATGAAAATACCGGTCGTCACAAGGAAAAACGAGTATATGTACAAGCGGGTTTCTAAGTGACCATGAAAGAAGAAATCTACTGGCCAGTTGCCAGTACGTTCTCTTTTGTATTGTTAAAATATACATACACAGGTAGATGATTTGTCGCCAACCGGTATGGATGAAAAAGCCTCTCATTATTTATATAAAGCGTTACTATAAACTATATTTTTATTTAATATGTGTTTATGAACTTCTAAATTACGCTCTATAATCAGTTATGCTCTATGAACGCAAATATTTACCCCAAAAATATTCATTTTTCATAAAATAAAATTTTTATTCTTTTCAAAATACTGCTTTTAGCATTGTATACTATTAGTATCATACTATGAGTATCATATACTATTAGTAGCAGACACAGAAAATTAAAAGGCATTAAAATAAGCTGCAACGCTTATCATTTTAATCCAATTTTGCTTATTTTATAATACCAAAATGGATTAAAATAAGCAAAATTGGATTAAAATAATAAGCGTTGCAGTTTATTTTAATACCTTGTAATTTTCTGTGAGTACAACAATATTACTATTTTCAAACAAAAAATTCAATTCTTTTAAATATAGTTTCCGGTTTGTAAAAAAAATGGGAATATTTTTCTGTAAAAATTGACAGTAACGTAAATTTATTGTAATGACACTTATGTATAATAAATGTATTTACTATTTTCACAGAACATTAGTCGATGACATGCGCTCGCATCATTAGTGATTGAGTGTGATGATCATTTTAGAGAAAATGTTAACTCTTGAAAAGAGTGCTGTCATACATATATAATACATATGTATATATATATATGAGCTTCTGGATTTAGCTAGGCGTACTCGTACTTATTAAATGCACACAAGCATAAGCGCGTGTGAGTTTCAGCACGCGTGGGCGATGCTACGGCACGCGACATGACCGTTACATTCGAAACTGGCAACGCAGGGGGGAGGGAATAGTTTGCCGTTGGAGGGGATGAAATTCAGAAGGGGAACAAGGCGGATTGCAGCGCGCATACACACACACACACACATATGTCGTCTACAGAAAATAATCCTGTTGAACGTAAATGTGTGTGTATACTATACCTGCGATTCACAATTGCTCTTGAAGCTGGTGGCATATATCCTTTTATGAAAAATAATCTCCTATTTCAGTTTTTTCACCTGTTTTAATTTTTCCAAAGAAAATTATTAAATTTTTGACATTAAAAATCTAGTATTTTTAAAAAGAGTAGTACTATCAATAAATTTTCAATTACTGTTTTTGGTATTTTTAATATTTTCAATAAGAATTTTCGCTATTATCAATAAGTATTTTTAACAATAGTTGTATTTTCAAAAAAAAAAATCCATTGAGAAAAGAAAAGTCATATAGATCTGGTAATGAAAAATAATGATTCATATAGAAGCTAGATGTATGGCGATGCAAGGAGGGAAAGTGCAGCATCTGCTGAACAACAACGAACAGCACCGACCAACGCAATGCACGGAAGAACAATCGTAAGCATCACACTCATGGGGTGCTGCATTACCTGACTGTGGAGACCCACAGAACAGATGCTCGGCAAGCTATTGGCTGACGGCCCGCGACCGTCCGTCCCCCATTGGTTCTGAAAGCGGGGCCTGAAGGGCTGTATTGGTCCGACAGCACGTGCGAGCCACCTGCACTCTCGTAGTGGGAGACGCTCTTATAAAAGCTCCACACTACTCCCATACCAGCCAGATACCGGTTCGAAGCCGTACGATTCACATCATTCAAGTTTCTTTTCGTTCTTTGTGCTATACACAAGTCTATGTTCGGAAGAGAAAAAAAAAATAAATAAGTGAAAAGTAATAAGTGACACTGTGCAGTGACATTCATTCAAAAAGGATTATTAGTTTCAAAAACCTAGTGTATTAAGTGTATCATCATGCTTGTCGAAGAAATGCCTCGCAGCTTCGTTAAGAAGAATAATAGCTACAGTCACTGTCCGCTTAAAAAACGGCCAGTGCACGTGTTGATATCCGAAGAAGTTACAAAAGGTAATTGTCAATTTTTTTAAATTCTAAATCTTAAAAAAAAAAGAAAGTAAATTAATACTTTAAAAAAATATTTCGAGAAAATACTTAACAGATTATTTTTTCTTTCTATTTACAGAAGAATTGGTAGTAGTTGATGATATTCCCGAGCCGGAAAATCTCAGCACAAAACCAGAGGATCTCAGCAAGACTGCGGAGAAACGTTCTCAATATTCAAGATCACCATCACCTGTTTATGGAAAACGATCAGCATCACCAGTGTCCCGTTCACCTTCGCCTTCATCGAGGCCCATTTCTCACATGTATCATCATCATTTAACGTATCCTCATTATCCAGCAAAAACAATAACACCACCAATTGCGCCAGTTCATCCAGTGGCAAAAAAAGCACGAGTCGAAGTAATTCAACACGATCATGCCTCACCAACAGCGGCTGTTGCTCCACCAATGCATTTTATGGCAACAATGACGCCCTTGGAGCCATTGAATTTAAATACGCCAATGGAGCCATTGGCGCATTACGCCACACCAGCATGGGCACGTTCAGCACCACTTTACCCACCTCACTATCTTCCCTATCCAGCGTATCGCTACCATCATCACCCTGCAGCGGAACTCTATCAATCTTGTCCAGTGCCTGCTTACCCACATTCATCTCCTGAACATTCATCTGTTTCTCCACCACCTCACGCTGCCCTCACGTGCCCCACGATTCAACGACCGATTGCAAGGAGTTACGCTCACTGGGCAAGTCCCGATCATTGTGGATTGTCACCAACAAGTTCCTTGGGCTCCCTAAGATCACCACCACCCGTAACACCCGAAGATTTATCATCGCCCGGAAGTGATAGTGGAAGATCATCAGCCGGTAGTACATCAGCCGGTTCAACAATTGTCAATCAAAAATTGGATAAATCAAATCCCTCAACATCGCCAACATCATCGCCACGTTATTCATGTCCCGATTGTGGAAAATCATATTCAACATATTCGGGCCTATCAAAACATCAACAATTTCATTGCGCCTCAGCTGAGGGACAAACAAAAAAATCCTTCTCGTGCAAATATTGTGAAAAGGTATACGTTAGTTTGGGTGCTTTAAAAATGCACATCAGAACACATACATTGCCATGTAAATGTCATCTTTGCGGAAAAGCATTCTCAAGACCTTGGCTTCTTCAAGGACACATTAGAACTCACACCGGCGAAAAGCCATTCAATTGTCAACATTGTAAACGAGCATTCGCTGACAGAAGCAATCTCAGAGCGCACCTTCAAACGCACAGTGATGTGAAAAAGTACTCGTGTCCGTCTTGTAGCAAGACCTTCAGTCGTATGTCTTTACTCACAAAACATCAGGAAGGAGGATGTCCAGGCGTTGCTGTACCAATGGGTTTTTCGTGTTAAAAAATCAAAATTGTGTTTCAGAAAAAGAAAATATTTCCAGTGTTTTTTAAGGTGCGTGAGAGAGAGAGAGAGAGATTGTCAATTTCAAACCAAGTGCCTTAGAAGTCTCACACCAATATTTTTGAGACTGCTCCGAGTACAAAGAAAAGAAAATTTTTTTAGAGACTAAATAATATATAAGTGTAAATAGCGTGAAAGAAAATTATATTTTCTACATTGTGCTTATAAATTTATTTTTGAAAAAAAAAAGTTACCGCTTGACGTGGTTCCGTGAAACTGCTGTGCCATTTTCATCTTTAAAAAAAAACCTAAATTTGGTTCATTTTCGCTTTGCTATTGTATTTATATTCATTACGTTCCATGGCGTCATTTTTAAAAAAAAAAAATATTTATATTAGATTTTAAGTTCATGTGCACAAAAAAAAGCACCAAAGTGCCATTATAAATTATTTATGTTCAGTTTTCACGTAAATATATTCATATTATTATGTACGACAGGCTTGCATTGTAAATACTGCATCTTGAAAATATGGCTATTTTGTAAGCTTGGAAAAACTCGTACAAGAGTATTATTATATTTCTAAAAATCAAAGAATTTTCGTTTCTTAGAATGATTTCTTTGAAATTTCATTTTTTTTTTTCATTACTTGTAAGTTACTTTGAAAAGCTAGTCATTATTTTTATATAAAACAAAAAAAAAATAGTAGAGAAATCATTTTTTGTTTTGTCTACAATTTTTGATATATAGTCATCGATGAAACTCAGTGAAATAATTATTGGTTTCAAATTATTTTGTAAGCTCTCAGCGATTTTCCTCGCTATTTAGACTTGTAAAGAAAGTAAACTAATATGCAAAGATATAGAGAGAATATTTTATAAAAAATAAATTTGATAAATTTAATATAATCCTGTTATTTATTTATATCCTCAACCTTTAGAAATTAAGGAATTTTCATCAATTTTTTTCAAGTAAATAATTTATTCAAAGAATTATTAAAACAAAATTTAACAAATATTTAATCATTAACTTTAAAAAAAAAATTTTTTTTTTCATAAATATTTAAAAATTAATTTTTTTGTAAATCTTTTAATTTGGAAATAATATCACAATAGAGATCAATTTTGTTGACAATTGACGTGAATTAATCGATAAATAACAGTTTGTTAGCTTTTCCCTTGATTTTAATTAGAAGATCAAGCAACGGTTTCTTTCAACCGCATTATGAAAAAAAAAATCTTTACAATTTTGTTCTCCCCTCCGTTTTGTGATTCTTTTTTGGGATCACCTGCACTTTTCCAACCGACATTTCAGTGCGCGATCTTCAAACAAGGAAAAAATTCTTCAGGGGATCCTTATACCTTTTTTTACCTGTTCGCAATCCAATCACTTCACATATGAAGGGATAATATATAGGGTCATTGGCACGAATAGAAACACAACTTAGAGAAAGAGAGAAAAAATTATTCATTCCCAACCGTTAAAGATTTTAAAAACAACTATACTAAAAAGTCAAAAATTTTAACTAATTTGAATTAGTTAATTTTTGCTTTTGAATTAGTAAAACTTAATTCGATTGTAAAATTGTTTTTAGTTAAATTTTACTAATTCAGATTTAGAGACTAATAATTTTTTTTTCTTCATTTTTTTGTATCAATTTCTAGTGATGAATGAAAAAAAAAAAAATATTTCAACTTTTACAAATAAATATATGCATAGAGTTTGAATGAATGAAAAAAAAAAAAATTCTTGAGCAGCTTTTGAGTATTTCAAGACATCTCTCCTTTGACCATTCACTAAAAACCATTGACTATACCAAAGGAATAGTTAAGTAAATTTTCTAAAGCAAAATTCCTTGGGCCCTTAGCCTTTATGGCAAATAGGTGAATTGAACAGGTGTACCAGCATATCGAGTAGAGGAGACATTCTTTTCACAACAGGTAACCATGTATACCTCGAACAGCACCTGAATGAAAAGATTTAACTGTGACAAAAAACGGAAATCTTTGGAAACCACCGCATAATAGAAAAAAGGACCTTGGTCAGCTTTGATATAGACAATTTCTATATATATATATACCAAACAATAAACATTTTCTTTCATTAGATTAGAAATACAATATTAAAATTTTTAAAAATATTTTTATGATATTTTAAAATAAAATTTTCGTAATTTTAAGATTTTAAAATAAAATTTAATGATGCATTTGTGAATAAAGGGGGGAAAAAAATCAATTTTTGTATTGTATTAAAGAGCCGGAGGTAAATAAAAAATTAAAATTTTTTGAAACGCGTTTATATTTAAAGTTTGTCTCACGACATTTGACATTGGAACGACGACCCGACCGCCCGGCGTTCATTGGGGAAGCCCTTAGGTTGTTTCCGGGAAGACTCCGCATGTTGGTGCATGCCCCATTGTGGACAGATTGGTTCTCCTCATGCCTGTGCCAGGTGTCTATACTACTTGAGACATTCTCAATTCACAACCGACAGATTTCTCCATCTATATTAATAATAAAATTATTCTGTTATTTTTAGATTTACTTCTCATCGAAAAAAAAAAAAATATTCTCAAATTTAGATATTATACACTTGGCATCTATTTTAGAGTATTTTATAATTTCATTTAGTTTTCTCTAAAAATTTGAATTAGTAAAAAATAACTAATTAATAGTAGAATCTTACTAATTCAAAAAGCAAAAAGTGAGTCACTAATAATTAGTAAAAACTTACTAATTCAAATAGTTATTTTGATTTAACTAATTCAATTAGTAACTTTTTAATGCGGCTCCTGGGGGCGCAAATTACTAATTGATTAGTTAAAACTACTAATTGTTTACTAATTCATTAGTCATTATACAATTTTACAGCCAAATCGTAATAAATCAATAAAAATTTATCAACTTATTCATACTAAAATTTAAAATTTGAAAAGTCGAGTTTCAAAGATAAAATTTTTCGCATGTAGTTTCTTCATGATTGTATAAAAAATATTTTATTTTTAAAAGTCAGTTTTCATGGGTTAAATTGCATAATATTGGCAAATTTCATATAAAAATTTTTACGTTCTGGTGGTTCATTTGATATATTATTTCCGATTTTTTTGAGTAAAGATTTTATTAAAATTTTCACTTTATAGTAATTTATTAATTTACTTAAAGACAGTTTAGATACACATACATAGTTACTTTTGGTGAAATAAAATTAATAAAAAAATTTTAACGGTTAGTTTATATCAAAAAATTTTTTGAAAAATAAATAATTTCAAAAGTAATATTTAAAGCACCAAACAAAATATTTTGAACATAGTACAAGCTATAGTATCACATAATACTAAAAAAAACAAAAAAATATTTTAAAAAAAACCCATGGAAGATGACATACGTCATGAAAATAATAGAGGTTACGTTCAACTGACTAATTCATTTAGTAACTCGGGTGTAATAACTAATAGAATTAGTTAATTTGATTACTATTTTAAATTAGTAATGTTCAAATACTAATTTTTTACTATTTTATTAGTAAAACTTCCAAAAATAACTAATTCATTAGTTAAAATTTAATTTACTAAATGAATTAGTTAATTTTTTACTAATTCAGATTTAGAGAGTAAGTAGTTATTCAAATAGTAATATTTCTACTAATAATTTAGTTAAAAATAAAAAATAACTAATTATTAAAATTTAATTTTTAGGTTCTGTAAAAATAACTAAATTTTTAGTGAAACTTTGTCATTGACCTCTTTTCGATTTGGGTCAAATTTTCTCACCGTTTTGTATCCTTCAAAAAAGTGCTTCGGTGATTTTTTTCAAATTTTTTCATCAAGTCGTTTATGAAATATAAATTTTTCAAAATTGGAGAATTTTAATGATTATTTATTTTTAAATGCTCATAACTTCCTTAAAAATGAATCAATTTATAAAAGTTTTTTTTAAATGTGTGTTTTTAACTGAACTTTTCAAAAATTTCATACAAAAAATTTTAATTTCCTATATTTTTTGTAATTTATAGGTTAAAATCTTGTTTTTAAAACTGTTTGTCTTCGATTTATTTAAATTTTCCATAAAAACTACTTCCTTTTACAAAAATCTTAAGTTTCTAGTCGAGTAGTGAGAAAATAATTTTTTTAATACTATCGGAATTTTTAAAAAATATCTCCGGTTTTTTTATACTGGGTACTCTGTAAATCTAAATTAGTAAAAAAAATGTGTACTAATTTAAATTAGTGACTCACTTTTTGCTTTAGAATTAGTAAAAATTTTACTAATTGTTAGTAAAAGTTACTAATATTTAGTAAAATTTTACTAATTGAGAAGCAAATAGAATATCACTAATTCCTGAAAAGTCCTAAAATTACTGATTATTTCTTTTTCGTTTATTGGGTAAAATATTATGCAAAATTACTCATTAAATTTGAATTAGACAAAAGTTCTAGATCTTATTGAATTTCATTTTCCACTTGTAGAAAATTGTAATTTTTATTAAAATGCAACTTACAATGGTTCGAAATGTTGAAAATCAAATTGTTTTACTCTCTAAATTTGAATTAGTAAAAATGTTTACTAATTTAGTGACTCAATTTTTGCTTCTAAATTAGTAAAATTTTACTAATTATTAGTAACTTTTACTAACAATTAGCAAAATTTAACTAATTCTAAAGCAAAAATTGAGTCACTAATTTAAATTAGTAAACATTTTTACTAATTCAGATTTAGAGAGTATGTGAGTAAGATTTTACTGCAAAATCGCCGGTTGGTTCTTTAAATGAATTTCTAACCGTTTGGACTAATTTTTAGTTAAAAATTATTAATTGTTAGTAGAAAATCACTAATTTATTTATTAGAGTTAACTAATTGAAATAATTGCCTTACTAAATGAATTAGTAATTTTCTACTATAAATTAGTCATTTTTAACTAAGAATTAATCAAAACGGTTACTAATTCATTTAATGAACGAATCAACGCAGTTAAAATAAGTAAAAAATAACTAATTTTTCCACTTACGTAACAGCTGATTAATTTGTAAATAAAAAACGAAAATCTGATTGAAATACAAACAAACACATATAAAAAAATTTATATTTAACATATCAATATATAATTATGTAAATTGTTACATATTATTTTCTATAGATTTCCTATATTAAATTTGATTGATTTTATTAGAAACAAACTTAATTAACGAATATTTTTTTATAATAAGGAAGAATATGGAAGGCCATAAAAATAATGAATAAATTGAAAGCGATTAATTCATATTTTACTAAACTTTCCATGTAGTGTGGAATTGATAGTCAACACGCGTATAAATTATAAGAGTATTATATATATATATGTGTGCACCTGCTGCGCTTATTGCATATATATATATATATATGACGAGTATAGAGACTTGGGGAGAGGAAATCTTAGGTCACGTCTCCTGCCACCATGTCTCTCACTCTCGCCTCACAGACATCAGAAACTTTTCTCGTCATCTGATTGGATACTCTTTTACTTAGCATTTGTGAACGCGCCTGCGTATGACTTGTTAACGCATCGCGCAAGACTTATGTACAATTACCGCCCCAAATACCGCCCATATATAAATGCGAATTACACACTTTTATCTTGTATTTCATTTTTTGTCTCTTCAAAAAAAAAATTTTCGTCCAAAAGCTGCCCGAAATGAAAAATTTCTATATTCAATTAACTTCATATATTTAACTATGAAATTTTATATGAGGGAAGTTAACTGCGAATATCGAAATTTTTTGTTTCGTACAGCTCTAGCACCAAAATTTTTTCAAACAATTTTGATTTTTAAAATTCGACACGCGAAAGTTGTCGAAACCTGAATAATTAAGTATATAATGTATTTAATTTTATTAAAAAATTATATTGGAGGTGTACATGTGTGAACATGAAC